TACTCTCTCCTTAGGAGTGACTCTGAACATCTTTGTTCTGAGTCTGTGGCAGTCACTTCAGTTATTTTTTGCCAACATTGGTTCTATTAAACACGCATGTTTTTCTCAAAGTAATTTTTTTCCCCTAAAAGAACATTCCTGCCCCAGGGACATGGTGGTCTGCCCAGTTTCCTAAGTACCACTGCGGCTGTAGCAGCTCACCCGATCTGTCGGCACCTGCAGCAAACAATAAAGAGAGACGCTGTGTTTGCGTGTGCGTGCACAGAGCAGTCTTTCAATTAATCGTCAGTCTTTTGCATTCACCTTTCCCCCATGATAGGAATTTAGTGACTTTTCCTGAACTAAGAGTTTTTAAAGGCTTTTTGTTGCTTTTAATGCTCATTTCTCCTCATAAATTCTTTTTGGCAAATGCTGCTGAATGGGAGGCTTTCAGGGGAAGCCGAGACCCGGCCTCCTGCTGGGACGAAGTGCTGGGGAGTGAGTCCTGCCGCTGGTGGGGCCGCATTTTCTGTAGGCCGAGTGCCTGCCTGCCTGCCGGGGAACCGTATTTTTGTCTAAATAGTTCTTCATTTTAATCATTCTGTTATTCGTTACGTGAAATGTTTAGATCTCTCTTATTGACTAGCTTAGCTTTGGGAATAGGTATATTTTTAACTCAGTAATTTTCACAGTAGGTAGAAGCTTATCAGTATTACTTGAGGAGAAATGTCAAAATGAACATACTACTGATTCCTCTCCCACCCCCACGTGGAGGGGGTTGTGCATTTTGTAAAAGCTCCTTACATCATTCCGATGAACATTTGCCACCTCAGTTGAGAAGGAAGTTTTAATAACTTGGTAGAGATTTTAGCTTAACTGAGCCTATGCATAATGGAGTGGCCTCCTCCCCATAGTTTGCAACACAAAAACAACAGCCCTTGGAAAAGAGTTTTTAGAGATCTAGTTAAATCTTCTAGCCCGTAGGGAGACATAGGGGCATAGAGACTCTGGGACGAATAGCCCTTCTGTGCTCAGCCTTAAGGTGTGATGTTATTATACCTCTTAGGAAGTAGCTCTCCAACTTGGAAGTGGTCTTGAGAAAAATGTTTTAAGGAAGAAGCATTCAACTGAGTTTTAGGAACGAACACAACTTTTCTTTGTCCCTGCCTCAGTTTCTCTGTGACTGGAAGGCCGTGCAGCTGGAAGCAGGACTGGGCTGCGGGTCTGTCAGGGCACTGTCTTGTTTGCCACTGCACCCCGGTGCTCACCAAAAACTCAGCGAGCCTGGGAGAAGCAGAAACCTGCCGAGTAGGGAGGAAACAGTTCGCACAAAATGCATGCATTTACAACAAAAGGTTATTAATAAGTTTCGTTACCTGGTTTCCTTGGAAAGCCTTCGGCTGTGTCCTGAGTCATAACCAGAGGAAACTTACCAAACGTTAAGGACTAAGAACGTTGGAGACAACCATTAGGAGTGGGAACGAGGTGGTAGAAGTGGAGCATTTACTGCAGAGAGAAGGAACGGAGCCTTAGCAGTCGGGGGCATTTCGTGTAGGAACAGCCAACTCTGAAGCCCGTAACATCACTGCTCGGGGAATAGTGGGGGTCTGAGAACCATGGCCCACAGGGCGGGGCATCCCAAGGACCACCGAGCCGTGGAGTCCCGGCAGTCCCCTACGGACTTGCAGAATACAGTGCAGTCTGGTAACCTACGTGCACAGTAGTAGGTAATACTGACTTTTATTTTACTAAAATAAATATTTTTAACACCACTGCATTTCTGTTTAAAATGGTTAAAATTTTAAACATTGGTACATACATGGTTTCATCTTTTCACTCTAAAATGTGTCATTCCTTACAAATGCGAGAGAAGTGAGCGATATTGACTGTCTCCAGTCAGGAAAGGTAGTGTATTTTAATTCATTGAAGAACAGTGTACACACAGAATTTACAAAGAAATATATACTTGATGAATTTTCAGCATCCAGAAACAGATATTACCATAAAGAACCCCAGAAGCTCCTCATCGCTGTCCCTTTTCCCCACCCCCCACATCTCAAAGGTAACTGCTGTTCTGATGTCTAACAACATAAGTTTCAAGAAATGGCCCTGGCTGGTGTAGCTCAGTGGATTGAACATGGGCTATGAACCAAAGGGTCGCTGGTTTGATGCCCAGTCAGGACACATGCCTGATTGCAGGCCAGATCCTGGTAGAGGGCACGTGAGAGGCAACCACACATTGATGTTTCTCTCTCTCTCTTTCACCCTTCCCCTCTCTCTAAAAATAAATAAATAAAATCTTTTAAAAAATTCCTCACTTGACCTTTAAAAAAAGTTTCAAGAAATGGTGTTACCATTTAATCTAAAAAGTTTTGGAGAGTCTTTTAATGAACTTAAAGTGAAGAAGAAAGCATGAATGTAAACCATCAGCCTGTGTTTGACTCGTTTTTCTTTCTGAAGCTGTGGGAGAAGCAGGACGGAATTAGAACAAAGCGCTCAGCGGTCTGAGTTGGAGTCTGATTGTGCTCACGTACCTTGTTTGTAGAAAAGATGGAAACTATTCCGTATGTTTCTCTGTTTTGAGGAGAAACAAATTAAAAAAAAAAATTAGAGAGTAGGGAGGCAGAAAGAGAGGGAGAGAAACATGGATGTGAGAGAGAAACATCAAGGGGTTACCTCTCGTACATGCCCCTAACTGGACAGAGCCCAGAACCCCAGGCATATGCCCTGACTGGGACTTGAACCAGTGACCTTTCACTTTTCAGGGTGATACTCAACCAACTGAGTCACACCGATCAGGGCTCGGAGAAACAAAAGTTTATAGTGTCAATTTCTTTTCAGCCTTTGTCTGGCTTCAAAGGGAATCGCCACCACCGCATTTAGGCTTTTAAAGGCCTGGCTGCTGTTGGCACTCTGACGTCTGTCTTTCTTAGTTGGTCAGCGTGCTGATCTAGACTTATTCCCAGGACTTGTGTAAGGTTTGAAAAGTGAATTGTTTTCCCTTCTTTACACACTTATATTCATATTTCATGTTGGAATTTTGGAACTAACTATTCATGGGACATTTAATTTAAAGTTAACTTCTTTTCCGTACAGAACAGAGTGATTGATAAAAGGTGATTTGGATGGACTTTCCAAGCCACAGGCTTTATATTCTAAATCTGCTTATTTTGGTGTTCTTTGCATTCTATAAAATTTTGTGCGATTTCAATCAGTATTTTTCTTTCCATGTTTATACATTGAGTGGGTCTCTTAAGTGTTTGCTATTTGGAGAAAAGAGCATGAAAGAGAGAAGGAGGAAGGAAGGAGCAGGGAGGGAGGGAGGGAAACGTGCACATATTCTTTTAAACTGTGAAAGTTGGCAGATTGGGTCCCCCCACCCGATGGGAATATTTGTCCATTCAGCAGTGGTCTTCTAGCCTTGCTTAACTAGTTCTCTTAGGCTTGACTGTGACTCCAGCTTGAAGTCTGTTAAACACAAGACTTGATCCCCAGCTAGGGCTGCCAGTTCAGAGGTCATCTGGTATCATTTTAGTAGATTCCTTTTTATATGTTTTGTATTCTGGCTATTTTAAAAAAATTGTGATAAAATACATGTTTTAAGCATTTTAAGTGTACAACTGGCTTATTCATTCATATCAGTTCTAGTCAACAGATATTTAATGAGGATCAGCTATGTGCCTTTTGCTGAGTTTCGTAGATGATTGAAAATTATGAAAGAAATATAAATATGGTTCCTGCTCTCAGGAAGGTTAAGCTTCATTAGGGAAACAAGATATGTGTACAGCAGTTAAATAGTAATTCATAGTAGATAAGGTCTTGAATGTTGAGGGAAACCGTGTAAAGGTGAGATTCAGTTTGGTCCTTAATCAGGGGTAGTATGTGTCCAGTTGGAGAGGCAGGAGGAAGTGGTGAACTGAAACAGCTGCCTCCTGTTGCAGTGTTAAGCCTGTTGTCTTTCAGACAGTCTTTTGCTTTTCTAGTCTTGAAGCTATCACCTTTTTGTTTTTAAAACAAGCTGAACAGCTCTGACTGGCGTGGCTCAGTTGGTGGGGCATTGTCCGGCAAAGCTAAAGGTCACTGGTTCGATTCCCAGTCAGAGCCTCTGCCTGGGTTGCAGCCTGGTCCCTGGTCGGGGTGTGTGTGAGAGGCAACCACTCAGTGTTTCTCTCACATACAGGTATTTCTCTCCTTCTCTTTCTCCCTCCCTTCTCCTCTCTCTAAAAATAAAAAATGTCTTTTTTTCCTTTTTAAAAAATATTTACTTATCAATTTTTAGAGGAGAAGGGAAGAGGAAGGAGGGGAGAGAAACATCGGTGTGTGGTTGCCTGTCACACGCCTCCCATTGGGGACCTGACCTGCCACCCAGGCATGTGCCCTGACTGGGAATCGAACCGATGACCCATTGCTTTGCAGGCCAGTGCTCAATTCACTGAGCCACACCAGCCAGGGTAAAATAAATAACATCTTAAAAAATGAAAATCAAAAAGTAAAATAAGCTGAAGATTCAGAAAAGAGGACATATTATTAGCACATAATTTGTATTTTTAAAAATCACAGAAACTCAACTTGCTATGTAGACACTATTAAAAACGCAGACATACAGTGATAAAAGGGTTAAACTTCCTATTAAAATTCCATGCATATGTCTGTGTTCATGCAGCATTAAACTTTTCAATATATTACCGCTTGGGAGTAGGTATTTCATTATGAGTTTAGAACAATTGAGGTTATGGTTTTATGAAAAATGTACAAAAATCAGCATGTAATGAAACACATGTTTACTGAAATTAATCTTGAATGTCTGCTCTTTTGCTAATCAGGTAAAAACTTTAGAATGGGTAGTTTTGTGAGTAAAGAGTGAATTATGATTGACCGTGAATAATCTTGTATTGCCACTTGATGCTGCCTTTGTTAGTATGTATCAGTGACGGGCCGAGGACTTTATCCGGGCTGAACGTAAGGTCATAAACACTGAGGTTTACAGGGTTAAAGCAATATTTTCCTTGCTGCCTCTGCAGACAGGCAAACATACACTTGGGACCCCCGTGTTCACGTGACATCAAGAGGAAGCGGAAACCTGTGGCCACAGCGTCTCTCTCTAGCCCCAGTGCAGGTAACTGTACATGGGTATTATTTACTGAGCGCCTGCTCAGTGTCAGATACTAAGTTATTTGGTTTTACATGCCTTTCCATCCAACTTCGATGATAAGGTGGGTCATTTCATTCCTACTTTCATGGGAAAACTGAGAATGTGAGAAGTAGTTTCCTAAGGTCACACACGGTTTAAGAATTTCAACCTTGTTCTGTCTGACCCTGCATTCTGTTTTGTCGCTGTCACATGGCTGTCTTGAGTTTGAATCCATGTATTCCACTAAAAACAATCTTCAGTCTTCTGTGCTTTTGTTTTAGCACAGACAGGAGATTAGGTCTTTGTTAATGAATGTCCCATTAGGGTGGCAGTGTAGTCACTCAGTAGCCAAGGAGCCACATGGGTTTACTTTTTTTATCCTCACTTGAGGACATGTGTACTGATCTTAGGGGGAAGGGAGGGAGAGAGGGAGGAAGAGAAACATTGATCAGTTGCCTCCCCTACACGCCCCCCAACCAGAGACCAACCCTGCATCCTTTTGGTTTATGGGACAACACTCCAACCAGCTGAGCCACACCAGCCAGGACAGGTTTGTGTACTCTGTAAATTTAGTGTGGAGTACAATATATTCTCACTGTTTTTATGTATAGTAGAGTGCTAATATTTTACCAGTCATGAAATTTCTAATTAAAAACAAATTTTAAAGTTAAAACGTTTTAGTTTTCTGACCAAAGCTACTTGGTAGAAACCGAAAGAGTGGCTTCCATTGGTGGCGAGGAGAGGACATGAGGAAGTCTTCCGGGATGCTGGGATGCTCTGCATCGTGAATTGGGTGAGGTTGCATTGGTACAAAATATGTAAAGATTCGCTGAACTATACATTTATGATTTATGCACTTAACTGTATGCATGGTATCCTTAAATGAAAACAGAGGGGGATAGTTATTTATATCAGCAAGAATATTGGATGTCTATAGATCTTCTTCTTTGGAGTTAAGAGAAGGTAGTTAAATGTAAGTAGTAATCATAGGAAATCCTTTGTTATTTTAATATAGTTCAGGGTGAATTGCTCTGGATAAAAAGACCATATCTGGTTGTAGGACCAATGAAAAATACCCACAGTTCTGTTTTTTCTCCTTTCCTTCTGTTTATTATGTAAGTTTCAGGTATACAACATTATAATTCCACACCTGTCTACAGTACAGTGTTACCCCCAGAAGTCCAGTTCTCGTCTGTCACCACGCAGCCCCTGCCCACTCCCACACCCTCAGGCCCCTTCTTTGGTAACCACCCATCCCTATGGTTATTTTCCTGAGGATCGTGGATTTATTCTGTGGAAATTGAGATTATAAATTATTTTATTTTCTTCAGAAAATATTATATATTATAATTACTACATTTTTATATTTATTATGTATAGTTCAGAGTAATCAGATAGTTGAGTAGGGAGTACGTCTGTGCTGGAGTTCTTTTCCCTACTTTTACTTAGTAAGTTTCAGCATGCTCTGTGACCGACCCCTTCAGGCTTCTCTGACAGTGGTTCACACTGACGTGAGTGCGGACAGGCTTAGTCACAGGTCTGATGTCTGTACTAAATGGTTTTAGTGGTGTCCGCACGGCCATGCCCTGAGCTGAACTTTTTACCTACGTTATTTCACTTAATCTCTGCAGCAACTTTATAAGGTGCTGTTTTTATTCCCAATACATGGGAGCTATTTGAGGCTTAGAGAGGTTAATCACTTCCCCAAGGTCACATGGTTGATAAATTGCAGAGCCAAGGTCAGACCCGTTTCCCTGTGACTCTGGAGCTGCCCTCTTAAACCCTGCTGGTGTCCTGTCTCCTGTGCGATGGGATCGGTTCCACACTGTGACTCCGCATCGAAAGCCAGATCCTCATCCTGTCTGTGGGGTTGGAGGCACTAAAACACAATCTCCCCTCTTTTATCTTTTTGTTCTTTTTTTCTCTTTAATGTCTAGCCTCTGTGTTTGGCTTCTAGTCATTTTTAAGAGAAGGACTGTTGAGAAGAGTTTAAAATCCCTATTTCATATTTAAGCTGGGGAATGTACTGGGAGGTATTAAACAAGACTTGGGCATTAAACACGTCTCCTACCGATCTTAACTCCTCCCCTCACTTGTTGACTAAGGCTTGCTTCACTGAATGTTTTCTTTTTTTTTTTTAATCCACAACCCGAGTGCCCCATGGAGGTGAAGGACATAGCCTGGGCCTGCGCCATCAGTCAGTAGAACAAATGGGCTCGCTCTGCCTAACATTGGGCCATCTCAGATTCCACCTCTTTTATAGAAATGACTGATGAAGAGAGGTGTGTTCCGCTTTGCCGCCGTATTAATACACATCAGGGGCCAGCTCCTGGCACTAAATCACGCTGCCGCATACATCTGTTATCGGGCTCTTCACCGGTGTGATGAACAAGACTGCAGATAGAAGCTTCCTTGTGTCATTCTTTATAGGATTTTCCTAAAAGAATAAATAGCTCAGATCTCTGCCAACAGTCTCCCCTGTCACTGTGATGAATTCAGCTTCTTTCTTAAACATGCAGCCACAAATCTTTCCCCTTCTCCCCTCCCCCCGGTGGAAAGTTTTGAGTTGAAAGTGACTGAATTTAAAGATATTAATAAGGCTAGAGAGGTGAAGAGCAGGTAGGAATAGCATGCCTTGTCTTTTTATTCTAATATTAACAAAAGGCCAAGGAAAAGGACTTGTTTGTAGGGTCCTTGAGTAGATCCTTCTGGAAAGTGTAGCACCTTTACTTTCTTCTTTTTATGCCCGTCCCCTTCTCTTTATGGCTTTATAAACACAGCTGTGTGGGGCACAGAGCCACTGTGGATCTGGGTGAGTGACTGTGTGAACCTACTTAAAACGCCCATCCCTCAGAACAGGGACTGCCCAGCCGGTACCACCTTGTGCTGAATGAATTTGCTGTATGTGCCCTTAAAGAATGTAACTGGAAAAGAAAAAAAAATGTTTTTTTTTCTCCCCAAGTTGAGATGAAGTAGCTGTAAAAAAGCATAAGGAACGCAGATGAAAACCAGATCTTATTTTGTTGAGATGATTTTCTTCATTGAAACAGCAGGACAGAGCCCTGTTGTACCAATTCCCTTCCTTCCAAACGTGAGCGTGTGGCTTTAGGTAGAGGAGAACCGGATGGCAGGGCGTGGTTTTCAGAGCCCCGTTTGCCTTTGCTGCCCTTCGTCTCTCTGGGATAGGACACCTGCCTTCAGAGCATCAGTCGGAAGGGTGCCCGGCAGTTCAGCTGGTGATGTCAGTTCTGTCGGATTCCGAGTATCAGGCCAGTGGTGCTGGAGGTGCAGTCGCGAGGACAGGGATTACTTTCTGTTTTGCTGCTGCTGTACCCGAGACGTTAAAGTAAACGCCCAGCAGATGGGACCATCTCACTAGACAGTTGTATGAATGTGTGAGTAGAATCTTAAAGTTGAAACAGAGTTATTCTCAGTATTACTCTAATGCTGTGATTGGATTCAGTAGTTCTGTTTTAGGGTCACCCTTGTCTTGGGAGCCATGGGGCAGATTCTGATTGCCCGCCATGCCTCTCTAAAGTTGAGGTGATTTTTCAAGTTAAAAAAGCCTGATAGAAGGTATGCGAGGGGTAAAGAAAAATGACACAGCGAAGACCCACACACCCACCAACAGCTGTAAGAAAAAGAGGATCACGTCTAGAATATTCTCCCCACTCTCCTCAGGGGTAACCATTATCCTGATACTTATTTCTTGTTCATCACTTACCATTCTTGTTTTTTAAAAAATTGTTTTAAGACACAGGTATCTCTAAGCAGTATATTGTCTAGTTTTGCCTGTTTTTGAACCTTGTGTAAATGGAATGTCATGTTTTATAAGTTATTTTACCCAGTTATGTTCTTAGATTCATTCATTTCTCACCCTGCCACATCTGTGGTGCTCTCTTGTATTAATATGATGAATACACTACAGTCGAAAATTCTTGATGGACATTGGGATCGTATCCCATTTTATGCTGTTGTGGAGAACACGGCATTGTTCCGCGAGAGTGCGCATGCAACAGTGTTTTCCAGGCCACTTCACACTCGTCAGACAGTGTTGGGGAGGATGCGCAGATGTTGGGACCGTCGCGTGTTGCTGGGGGTAATCTGAATACTGCAGCCACTGTGGAAAACAATATGGCGGCTCCTCAAACTTCAAAACATAACCTTTTCAACCAGAACCACCATCTGCCAGTAACTTGCCAAAATGGCTAATGCAAAGGGAAGAAGACCCACCTGCTCTACATTCTCTAGGCCTTTTAGAAGACATGGAGTTCCTTTAGGCACATACATGCAGATCTACCCAAAAGGCCATATTGTGGACATCAAAGGAATGGGCGCTGTTTAAAAAGAACCGCCCCCACGAATGTTATCGTGCAGAACTGGAGGGGTCTACAGCAGAACCCAGCATGTGGTGGGCATTGCTGTAAACAGGCAAGTTCAGGGTCAGATTTTTGCCAAGAGAATTAATGTACGTATTGAGCATATAAAACACTCTAAGAGCTGGGATGATGTCTTGAAACATGTGAAGTAAAATGATCAGAAAAAGAAGGAAGCCAAAGAGGAAGGTAGATGGGTTCAGCTGACCACCAGCCTGCTCCACCCAGAGAAGCACATTGTGTGAGCACCGATGGAAAGAGCCCGTTCCCTCTGAGTTAAATGGCGTGGTACAGGGAAAAAAAGACCCCTGTACTGTTAAAAAAAAGTAAACATAAAATCACTACCACGTGGTGCAGCAGTTCTGCTCCCGGGTATATGCCCGAAAGAATTGAAAGCAGGCATTCAAAGAGGTACTTGTATACTCTGTACAATAGCCGAAAGGTGGGAACAGCGCAGATGCTCATTGCTGGATGCATGGAAGAGCCAGACGCGGCGCACACCGCATACAGTGGGGCATCACCCAGCCTGGGCGCCTCCGTGATCCGGAGTGAAGTTCTGGCACGTGCTGCAGCGTGGATGAAGGAAGACCATATGCTAGTGAAATATGCCCAACGCAAACAGACAAAGGCTATATGATTCCGATTATGTGAGGTGCCTAGAGTAGTCAAGTTTATAGAACCAGAAAGCAGAATGGTAGTTCCCGGGATGGGGGAGGGGAGGACTGGGAGCTGCTGTTTGTGGGTGTGGGGTTTTCATTTGGGACGAGAGAGTCTGGACAGGGACGTGCGATGGCCGAAGCAGTGTCAGTGTACTGGGTGCTGCGAGCTGTGCGGTAAAAACTGTTGCAGTGAGAGAGTTTGTATTATGTACATTTTGCCATAATAAAAAACATGTAGCAAAATAAAAAATGTTTTTCTGCTAGTTTCAAGCAGGAGCCTAAAGCAATGTCCCTCCGTGGTCTGTTGGCCATTTCTTTCCATGGTCCGTAATGGTCAATTCATTAGAAAGAGACATCTCGGTAAAATAAAAAAATAAAAATAAAATAAAAGTTTTTTCCTAGGGTAGTAGGGTTTTTTTTTCATTGTGGTTAATAATCATACTCTAATGGTGAATATAGTTATGTGAAATTTCAGTTAAATGAATGAGTGTGAGCTCACAAGACATAGTGATTGATTGATTGATTGGGGTTGTGATGTCAGATGTAGTTCCCGCTGTTGTGGTTTGAGGTTCCAAAACATGTGAAGGTCACTGCCCTCAAGCCACTTTTGTGTATGTGTCATAGAGTAATAGCTCTCAAGATTATTCTTAGGATGAGTCCCTGTAAGAACCTCGTGTTTGAATATATATGTGGGTGTGCATGTAAATCTGAAATAAGTCTTTGGTACACTCAGATATTTTCTCTTCCTTTTTTATTAAGAAGAAGATGTCCACAATATGGCCTTCCTTTTTATTATGATCACGACCCCTAAATTGATTTTTGTTACCCACAATTTGAAAATTACTCTTCTAGGTTATGTTCCTGGAATTTTTGAATGACATGATAAAAATGAAACTTTCTGGATTTTGTTACATGTTAGTATATATTCACTATCAAGACAGTGGGTGTGATGTGATTTTTACTACTCTGTTCGGGGGCATTTGGAAATGAGGGGGCTGTTTGCCGTCCCAGTGACTAGGGAGGGCTTTGGGCATTCAGTACCTGGGGTCCAGAGTGGTAAGTGTCCTCAAACGTACAGGACATCCCTGTACAAGCAAATATTATTCTGTCTGGAATGTGCTAAGTGTTTCTGTTGAAAAACTGGGTCTGATTATGGGATCTTCTGCCATGTCCTTACTGCCTGCTGTTTAGCGCTGACGCTGACATCAGAGGCATGGGGTGCGATGGAAGGAACAGAGGGCTCCGAGTCCAGATCTGAGTGTGAATCTTGCTACTTACCCAGCTGTCTTCTGTCCTTGCAGAACTTACCTGCTCTCTTGGTAGGGCTCAGTTTTCTGACCTGGCAAATGGAGGTGATAGTACGTACTTCTGAGAGTTTGCATTGGGAAATAAGATTATGAATGTAGTGTTTACACAGTACAGTGCCTAGCACATAAGTGCCTGCTAGGAATAATTACTACATTATGAATTCGTATCACTGAATTTATTCATTTGTTTGGTTAAAGTCATTTTCTCAGGTAGAGAAATACATATCTTACTTAAATCTTGCTTTCATTTCTTTGTGAAGAAAAAAGAAAAACCTTATGTGGCTCCTGGGTTACTAGGGCATAAGATACAAGGATGGAGAATATTTGGGCTTGGAGCGTGTCTCATTCTAACTTGTCTCCCCTTGACTTGTTTCCTGTTACCGTAGTAATCTCAGCAGTCCACGTGGATGCCATGGAGCCAGCCACACCAGCATCGCAAGCCCAGAAACCTCCAAACTCGGAGTGGCTGGTCAGGACCTCTGCCACAGAGAAAGCCACTGACTCGGCCGCAGCTACGTTTTTTAAAATGCCACAGGAGAAGAGCCCTGGATGCAGCTAGAGGGCAGGACCTCACCCACCAGGAGCCAGTGGGCTGTTGTGAAGTGAACAGGAGGTTTTGTGTTGAGTGGTCTTGCATATTTTAATAGATACCCCCAGTCTGTTTATCACCAGGTCTGGCTCCTTCCTCTTCCAACAAAGCAGTGGACTCTTTCTCTCAGAAAATCATACTGTGGAAATCTGTTTTTTTAAAAAAAGTTAGTGAAGTATTAGGGCAGCAGTTTTTTTAAAAGCCATCCATCCTATACGATATTTGTTACACTGCTGTTGCGGTCTCAACAGTTAGCGCCAGCGTAGTGTGCGGAGCTGTTCCTTTTTTGCAGGTGTGTCTTTTTTCTTGAAAAACTAGTAACTGCTTTTACATACTTTTTGTGCAGAGCTTTTAATATCATCTGAGGAAGGGCTGCCTTTGCAGTCAGCCCCAGACAGTCGGGTGCCAAGTTGGGGCCTGTGTGTGGGGTCGTGTTTGCAGGAGGCGAGGCTTGCCTTTGAGCCTGGCCTTGAGTCACCCGGAGTGTCAGTGAGGTAAATCCGCCACGGTCTCAATTCGGAGCCTCAGAAGCGACACCAGCAGCGTGGGACTTCCTGTGGACGGCCTCGCGGGATCGCCGGCAGCTGCCTTGGGCTTTGCCTCATCTCCAAAGTTCGCGTTCTAGCAGACGAGGACTCCACACGTGCTCTCACACACACTGCTGTAACGAAGAAGGTGGTTCACCGGACAGAAAAGCTGAAATGGCGGATTGGGTCTCAGCGTTTCATGTTGCCGTGTAAGCCTTTATATACCGACTGGGATTTTATTGTTAGTTTATAGGTCAGTAACCTGCAGCAGAAATTCACTCTGTTATAATAATGGCTTCTTGGGGTTGCTCTTTGGGGAGGAAAATGTCTTTGACGTGCCTGTCTCCTAGGTGTGTTCACGGCAGCTCAGCTGCGGGCAGAGTCGCACGCAGCCGTGCCTGAGGTTGGGTGCTCTGTTGTCAAAATGGGGAGTCGGTGGCTGCCCGGGGCTGCTGGAGAAAAGCCGAAGTTTTATCATGGGTGTCTCATTCAGGGGCCTGGGTGATAGTAGGGTTCTTTTTTGGTACAAATTAGATACATTTACTCTGAAATGTACAGAAGCTGTTCTCTAAGTGCCCACTCTTATGGTGATTAACGTTCCAGAGGAACTCCTGGCCTCGCACCTGGGTAGTGTGTGTGCTTAAAACTAGGTGCGGGGTGGGGCGGAGCCTCCTCTCCCAGAAGGGCGCGTGTCCCCTTTTCTCACCCAGAGCGTGATGGTGGGCTGCTTTACCGTCTTCCCTTTGAAAGTGGTAGTCCTCGGTGGTAGCTCCAGAATTCCTTGTCTGTGGGGTTGGTGTGAATCCAGTTGCAGAGGGAGACTTAAGCTAAGTTTATGTGGCACTTTATGTAAGACTGAGAATGTGTCAGTCGTCCCTAACGAGGAATATGGTGGTGGGCGGGGTGGGGCAGGTGGGAATTGTGGGCCGAGGAGCAGTGCTGCCGCCCGCGGGGTGTCCTGGGAGCCTCCAGAGTTCTCACCGGGCAGTGAGTGCGCCGCCCTTCCCAATGGGCCGCACCCACAGACGCGGAGAAGGCTAATCTGAATGTAAGGCGGCGCTTCCGAGTTGTTGGGTGAGGAAGGCAGGTCCTGTTGTCACCTACACGTTCCTGCCTGGTCCCCATAGTGGTGTCCTGAGCACACATTTCTAACGTACTTTGTTGGATTTGGGGGAGAAACCCGTGGACACACTTTTACTTTCTTTTAAATAAAGCCACGGGGCTTACAAGAAAGCCCCGTGGCTCATGCTGAGATTGGTCCTGTGACATAGACTCTTTTGGCCTCCGTAGTTCGGTGGACTCTGTCCTTCGTGGGATGTGGCCCGACAGTTTTTTTTCTACCCTTTTTTAACCTGATTGAAAGTAGTTATATACACCATGGTGCATTTTAGACATCTCTGTGGTGCACAGGCAGATGACATATAATGTCATAAATGAAGAAGAGTCTGTTACCTTTCAACAAAAGAGACAATTTCAAAGTCTGGTTTTGTTATATGTTAAAAAATCTCTAACAGCATTACCTCCTTTGAGGGTAACCCTGGGGCTTCCAAGTGTTCGATCTGCTCTAAAGTAGCACCTGAAGCTGAGTTCCACGGCGCCCATGCACTTACGGGTTTGGACTCACCGCAGCCGGCTGGCAGCCTGCCTCCCTGAATCCTGGCCGTGTATCTTCTACAGCAGGCAGAAGTCGGGACGTTATCTTCAGTTGTCATTCATAAAAGTTAATTTGGCGTGTGAGTTTCAGGGAGTTTGATACCATTTTTTAGACGCAGTATTTTAAAGGAGCAACTTCATTTGTATCAAAAAACACTTGTGTTTTGGTAAGAACTGTTCAGAAGAGGAAAGTAGTAGCTGTTGACATGGTGCCAATTTGGGAGGGAGAGAATATGGTCTTTATTGACTGGTGCGTGTGTTTTAAACTTGAATTCTTTAGAAATCAAACACTGTGGAAAATTGCAGATGGCACTGTTTTGCTGGGCTCTGACACAGGCTGCAGACAGGCCATTTGGGCAGCAAATGACCAAAGCTGAAATCGGTCCAGTCACTGCTTACAGCATCCTTTGCTAAGTAAAACTCCACACCTAGCACGGATGATTAAGCTATGTATGAATCCCAGATAGATTAACCTCACACAACTTTTCATTGTGGAATCGGAAGCACAATTGAGCCCAGAGCAGCGGGAGTCCTGTCGCTGGGCTGTCATTGTCAATGTGATGGTCTCTCCACTCTGGGCTCCAGGCGAAGCTCCTGGTGACGCATGATTTGTTTCAGGTCTTCGCTGTATTTTGACTTCGTGGCTGTGCTTCTGAGCCACACACTTTCTGTTTCCCGGGCTGTGTAAAAATCTCAGCGTTAGAAGCCACAGTCAGTATTTGTATGTCTGGCGAACCCGCTCTGAGCTGGGATGAGAGCAGAGGGGCTCACTCCAGCAGCGGTGGCTGCAGTCACTTCAGTGGTATGGCTTGCAGGATGTGTCGTGGCTTATGGGGTGGCAGGAGGGACGATAGAAGCGGTTTGCGCTTGCTGTCAGCTGCCTCCTTTGTTAACGCCTGAGCTGTCCATTTCACTTGTCAGTATTTCCTTATCTCCCACGCCAGTCAGGACAGGTAGTGAACACTGGCACAGAGGGAAACGGAGAGGAAACCGGTGGGTTCTGCTGTTAGCACTGACCACAGGGCGGTCCGGAGGTGCTTCCGCCTGCATTAGGGTCACAACAGATGAGTGTCAACTGCCTGTGAACAGCAGGACTGAAAAGAAACAAGGAGAATGAGTGATGTTGCTTAGGGTATGGATTACAAGGTTTTTAACAAACCCAGCAAAACAGACTTATGGCCAAAAGAAGACAATTTTCTGCCACTGCAGACAAACACAGGCACTTGGTAAAACTGCCAGCTTTTGGAAATAAAAATATTTAAAGCACAGTATTGAAGAATGGGGCAAACCCTGAAGATGTTCACCAAGGAAAACAATCTTGGCAAAGTCCGGAAGTGAGAAGGCAAGAGAGAGAGGTGGAGGTGCTGGGGTGCGTGGACCAACAGCATCAGCACGCTCTCGGCCCCCAGCCCTACGGGGTCTGAAGTCTGAGGGGGGGGCCCGGCAATCTGTGACGAGCCCCCCAGGGACTCGGGTGCACGCCGATGTTTGAGAACCACGGGCTTCTGTGTAGTTAAAAAGGACTGTTTTAATAGGCTGTATCCCTGAGCTGCTGTCTTCCATTTCCTTCTGTAAGAGATGTTTTGTGTATGATGTTTGCAAAGATTGTCATGTCTTTATTCCCCACACCCTTCCCCTCTGCTCCTGAAAGATTACCTGGAAATTTAGAAAGGACAATGTGGAGAAAATGCCATCGAGGCCGAATTTAAGTGGATGGGAATGTTTTAAAATGGATTAAAATGTAACAATGAACTTTTAGTCTGTGAGTGCTAGTCATTGTTCACTTCTAACAGTAAGACATTTGTGTAAGAGATTGCCATTCGTGATTTTATGGTATTTGTTCGTTACATCATAGTCTCATGCGAAAATGTTATGAATGATGAAGGCTTTGAAGCATAACTCACAAATATGAAAAAATATTAGAAGAAAAACTACCCTACATACACAGTTTTTGAGGCAAATACCTGTTGAGTGATTGGTAATCTTTTGCTAGGACTTAATTCCAGTGCTTCACGCAGTAAAATCCCGTTTTCAGTTGCCCACTTGCTCGTGTCCTTGTTCAACATTTCCAGCAGCGCTTCCGCGGGGGTTGGGGAGCCGCAGCGACAGCGTGTTACTCAGCACTTCCGAACACGGGACTCTAACCTTACAAAGTTTTGAACTGAAATCACGACCACTCTTTTCCTTCAGATTTTATTTGTGTGAATTGGACAGGGCCCTAACTGACTACTAAATAAAGCCCAGGGAAAATAAGTGGCTACAGGAGTACTCTAGTATCATTTCCTCAGACACTTTTGTGGTTTTGCGCCCGGGTCTTAATTTGTAAAGGTGACTGGTGATGACGTGAAGAGGTAAATGCCACTGAAAGAAAAGTGTAATGTTAACAGTTTCCCGAGAAACACGGGGCAGCCCTTGCCACACAGGCCAGCAGGATGAGCACCAGGGCTGGGTCAGGAGGCAGCAGACCAGGAGCTAGTGACAGGTGTAGGCCAGAGAGCTGCTGTCGGGTTTTCCTCCTGAAGGGCAAGGCCAGAGGACGAGCCGCTCAGGAGGGCTAGTTTGAGTAATTCTGGGTCCTTCGGATTATAGCATTCTTTCCAGTTGCTTGGTACCTGGCCCAGGGATGTTTGCTTCCTGGGATATACAGGCCAGGTGGAGGAGGTATGCCTCCATTGTACCTGGAAAGTTTGTACATCAGAAGCATGCTGCTGGCTAAATCTATTGCTCCAAGACTTGGCAAGCTCTGGGAGTGTAGTCCTCCCAGCCAGAAAGGTTTCTTAGGGTGTCAAAGTGTAGTCATTTACAGAAAATTAAAAACGTGATTAACTTACATATTTATCTCTTATTTCAATTTCGCAGTTCTTTTATAGTACCACCTGATTTTTTTAATCTCCAAACCATTGAAAAGTACCTTTAGCCAAGAATGTTACTAGATATTACCAAGGTGTGGGAATATAAAAAGATTAAGATATAAATTATGGAAATTGGTGTATTCATCCTGTAGAAGTCAGTTCTGACCCTGCAGATCTCTCATTCAAGTGATTTTTAATTGAAAAAGGAAAGAAAATATCAGAGAGCTAAAAAGTGGCCTTGGTAACTTTCACTTATTTCTTGTATTTTTCCATGAAAAATTGTGCGTATGCAAATTTCCACCACCCCCAAATCACAGTGACGTTTTGCATTGCTCTCGGTATTTATCTCACTCAACCTCCCACCTGCGGTTGGCAGCCATTGAAAACTGTGCCATTTAAAATATTTCTCCCTGCTCCTCTGAACCTCAGCAGCTCCCCTCCCCCTTCCCTGCAGACGATGGAACACTACAGACAGGTGTCCCCGCTTACCCACCTTCACACGTACCCTTCCTCACCTTTCCCTGTGGGTGCCTGCCCTGCTCAAGATGAGTCCCTTCTCTGATGGCCTCGGTCCCCCTCTCTCGACCAGAGAGGTGCCTTGCTCAGTCTGGCTACAGCTTCTCACCGCAGGCACATACAGCTCTGTATTTAAACACTCCTAAAGAGTCTATCTTCAAATGAAAATGCCCTTCCTTAACCCTGGAACCCCTGACTACCACCAAAGTATTGCCCTCACTGGCACGTTCTGTCCCGTAGTTTTCAACCCACAGACACAGTGGTGTTTACCCCTGGCTGCACGTTAGGGCTCCCTGGAAGGTTTTAAACATCGAGTTTGCCCAGCCGAATCACAGCTCAGTTACATCGGGATGGGGAGGGGAAACAGGCTCAGTCGTGTTCGAGCAGTGAGATGAGACCGGCAGGCGCACACTCCAACCCGGCCGCTGCCCTCACCGCCGTAACTGGTGCCTGCTGGGCTCACCAGTGCCTCTAATTGTCAAGTTTTGGTCCTTAGGCTGAACTTCATGGCTTGATGCTGTATAACCATTTTCTTCTTGGTATTCTTTCTTTTCTGACCCTGCTGTCTCTGATTTTTCCCCTCCTTTGCTCTTTGTCATTCTCCAGAGGTGGGCAGGTTGGTTGGTAGGTCAGTCCCACACACTGAGTGTCTGTTTCTGTCCTTACCTCCAACACTTCAGTTAACACCTGTGTGCCGATGAGTTCCTTTGCCAAATCACCCTAATGCACAGGCTTAGAGCAAAACATTTACCTTCATTAATAATGACTGTAAGTTTCTAGGAACACATACTTAAGGTCTCTGCTCCTTCCTTCACTTCTCCTCGCTTCTCCCTGCCCATCGAGGTAGAATTGCTAAGCATGTTCAGTTCTAAGATGGACCCCCCTATTTATTAGCGGATGGAGCTCCTATTCATGAAAAGTTAGGCTCGAACTGTGGTGCCTCTTCGGCTTTCTCCTTTCTGGGATCTCAAACTGGTAAGGAAGCCTGGGCCCACTTCTGCATGCATGGACGCCACCCCCCCCCCCCCCCCGCCGCATCCAGTGCTTTCTTTGGATTCTCTCTGCTGCTGGTAGGATTTTGGTTTGCACTTAGGTGGTAAGACAGACCCATTTCCTCACCACTTTTTGACCTTGGATACCACATTGGATCTTCACCAGAGAACTTTATACTGGGGTTTCAGGTACTACAGTGCTAATTACCTGTACTAACAATGAAGTGGAACTTGATCTTTTACTTTACCACCGTCACTGCATGCTATCTCAGGAACTGTAGGTTGGGGTCCCCCTCTCACCAGAAGGGACCTTGTGTCTTGTGTGTTCCTGGCTTCTTCGAATCACTAGTTTCTGATTCAAAATCTGGGGTAGAAGGATCTGATTAGTAGTCATGTGCCTAAGCTGTAGCTGTAGAAAGTGAGAATGAGGTTATTGGGAATGTTTTCTCAGGACGAGTGAGACATAAGGGGGCAGTTTAGATGCCAGACCCCTGAAGGGAATAACAAGGGCCCACTAGAGCCATTGCCCTGTTCACCAATTCAAAAAAAATCATTGCTCGGGTGTTCACTAAACCAGTGTCCTCAGAGCTCTCGTGGGAGAGAGGGCGGCTGCCCCAAAGCAGGGTCATCTGAGGTTCCTTAAACTCTTGAAATGAGTAGGAATCCTTCTCAGAGCCACTAACAACAACAAAAACAACTACTTACTGAGCAATTATTGTGAGCCATGATGTAATCTCACATGATCTCAAGTAATCTCGTTCAGTCCTTGATGACTCTAAGGTAAGATACTTTTACCTCTGTTGTAAAGCAATGAAATATGCCTATGGTTGCACATTAACTTGCTCAAAGTCACATAGCTAATCATTGTCAGCCGGGATTCAGTCTATCTGATGCTAGAGTTTCCATTGCCAGCCAATGTCCTGTGCTGCCCCTTTTCAATAGAAATGGACTGTTGGGCTGTGTGTGTCTGAAAATGGTGTATGTGTGTCCATAGGAAAAATTCCTATAATTGTTGGGCTAAAAGCTGGAATACGCCTCTACAACTTTGATAGATGTTGCCACCCTTCCCTTCATAGTTTGCACTAATTTACATGATGTGTGAAATTGCCTACTTAACCACATGCTTGCCATTATAGTGTATCAAACTTTATTATTTTTAATAAGTAAAAATTCTATCTCATTACAAGTGAGACAGCCTATTTTCATATGCTTAAGAGTCATTTGTATTTTGTCTTCTATGAAATATCTGTTAGTTTTCTTTGCCTATATTTGTATTAGATTGCTGATCTATTCCTTTTTTATTTGAGGGGCTCTTTTTTGATGAGATAAATTAGCCTTCATCTGGGTAGAGTTACGAATATCTTTACCACGACCTCATCTGTATTTGCTTCGGCGCTATTGTCACGAAGACAGATTTTATACCTTACAAGATGAATCTAGCAATCTTCTCTTTTGTGGCTTCTGGGTTTTCCGACATATTTAGAAATGCCTTCTCCACGCTTAAGTTATTAATTTTGTTTCCTTTTTTATAGCACACTTAGAGTTTTATTTTTTTAAATTTATTTTTAAATTTTGCCACATGATGCTGATTGTTCCTATGCAAGAACATGGTGTATCTTGCCATTCAGGTCTTGTTTTATGTTTCTCATTAGCATTTTCAAGTTTTTACAAATAATATTTCCTAAGTTTATTTCTAAGTATTTCATATACTTTCTGCTGCTGCTTTTATAAAATAGGTCTTTCCTTATGCATGTAATTGGACATTGTGTACACAAAGTCTGTTGATCTCTAAAAATTAATTTGGTGGCCATCTAATTTATAAAATTCTTTTTTGTGTGTTTGTAAGTTTTTGGTTGGTCCTTTTCAGTTTCCATGTGAACAATTCGATCACCTCATCTGTAAATTATAATTTTATCCTCTATTTCTTTCTAGTTTCTTTACCTTTAATTTCTTTCTCTTGTCTGATTGCTTTGTCTAAGTTCTGCAGAACAATTTTAAGTGATGGTGATAATAGGTGGATATTGTTCCTGACTTTAATGAAATCGCTTCTCTAGTTTTCAGTTAAGCGCAATGCTATAACAGCCCACCAAATCAACAACAAGCCGGGCTACCCAGCGTCCTTCACTTTCTGCCTCCTGCCCACTTCTCCCTGCTCCTCTACACACTTTATGCGTCGGCCTTACCAAATTACTTGCTGTGCCCTGAACAGACCGTGCTCTTTATACTGGATGGCTCCATCTTCCCTTCACTTAACTCCTGCTCATCCTTCAGGTTCAATATTTTTTAAGTGCTACTCCTGCTCAGTTTGAGTTAGTGACTTCCTTCTTCCAAAAATGCCCTGATATTTTTATTTCAAAGTTTATCACTTTATATTATAATATTTTCTTTCCTAGTCTCTTGCTCAGAAGACCATGAACTTCATGACATCAGGAATGTCTTTACTCAGCTGCTAGCAGAGTGCTTGGCATAAAATGAGTTCTATATGTATCTAAATGAAGGTATGTTTAGAAAGGCCAAGATTTAAGACAGCTATTTTGCTAGCAGTTCTGTGAGGTATTTAGCAACAGTCTGAACATATGAGATGTTCAAGACTTTCCATCACTACCATTAACAACTCAAAGCACCTGTCCTGGCTTATTGATCAGTTTTGCTTTGGCACACAAAGGATAGTACCTTTATATGGTCATAGGTTTGAAAGATTTCATTGACTTTTGCTCTCGTCACTTTCAAAAACAAGAAGAGGTTGTTTTAAGAGGATGCCACAGAAATTGCCTGCCTTCATTCAATGCTGGAAACCCAGGGGAGAGGTGAGTCCATTCACAGTTCCTCTGATAGAGAATCAGCCCTCCAGGAGCAACAGGTAAATGGAGTAGAAGGGTGTTCCTAGGTACCTGGCC